TATTATTATTTCCTTGGATTTCTGATGTAAACACATTTCCATCCGAGTCTCGATAAGAGACTTGAGGTCACAAATGGCTCATGATCATAAAAAAAAGTTCACTCACATTTTACAGAGATAAAGCTCTTTGCAATATGTGAGCTCTACTTGTGAGTACAATTTTTTGTGTTTCTTTAAGGCATAGGCTGCCATAAATCCCATTAATCAGTCTATCGTAAATATTTCTAATCAATCCGAGGACTCCAACTGCTACTGGAATTATTGATGTGCTCACGTGCCACATTTTTTAGATTTCCACTTCAAGATCCTACTATTTTAATAGTTTTTTTAGATCTTCAAATATAAATACAATTTACATAGACAGCCATGTCAATAAGAAGACACTTTTTATCTTTGTGGTCTTTGATCACGATGTCTATGGGATTATTTTTGATTATCTGTTTGTATTGTAAAGTCCAATAAAATTTTTACATGTCCGGTCTCTGTAATCGGGTCTGGGTGATGTTCATACCAGTTTTCCAGTGCAGATATTGGCTCACTCTATCATACCGACTTTTATATTCAGTGTGTGCTAACAACGTGCAACCTGCTACAAGATGGCCAATTGTTTCTGGATATTTATCACAGAATCTGCATTTCGGTTTAACACATTTTTTGAGTATGTGTGCCTGGTAAATTTGAGTTATCAAACATTGTTCCTGTACAGCAAGGATAAAATTATTATTATTATTAATATTATTATTGGTCCCAAATAAATATAAAGGTGTTACGAACTATAACTAATAAAATTATACACTGATTCTAGCGGATATCGCTGTACGATTAAACCCACCAAATTCTAATCTAATCTGTTTAATTAATCGGGAATCAAACAATTGAAATCCGCAGTAAATTATTTAATAACGAATGAATTTTAGTTGGTTTTTCAAAGTTATAAAAGACCTAAATATTTTCCTTTGTGTTGTGCCATTGTCGCTTTAATTTATTATGTAACAATTATACATGCCAGGTAATGAAAGACATTCAGTGACTTCGATTCGTCAATTTGTGTTTGCTTTTAACCGGTGTTTCCAAACATTATGCCGGAGTCGCAAAGTTCTGATGCTACACCCACTGAAGTAGTCCCTTCGGCGTGGACAAAGGATATACCCCCACCAAAAGGATCCGAGTATTATAAGGGACTAAAGGATAAATATGGAAGTTTTATAAAGAAATAAACTGTTACCGATGCTTGAATTTATGGAAACGGTGAACACGAGGAATATTTCACTTGTAACAACAGATATTAAGAAACGCAAATTAATTGGCATGAACAGAGAAATTATGAAGGAGGCCCTGAAAACCCTCAAAATTGGAGCGCAAGTGTTGTCAAGAAGAAGCAACGCAATGTCGGACATCTTACTGGCCACAGAGGATGCAGTAAGGAGCTGGGCGGGGAGCATACTCTTAACCAAAATAGTAAGGCTCCAGACCGAGTACGTAGAAACCAGAAAGACTAACGTCACTCTGCATGGAGATCCATTCTCCATATCAGAGGATCACTTGGGATGTTTCTTTTCGCAGTTTGACGAGGTGTCTGAAGTGTCGTCCGTAATAAGCAAAACAGGGATAGCAAAGGGAGACATGGAGATCTGGGTAACTGTTACCCGGAAAAATTTTATGTAAATTCTGAATATCTTGAAGTGTGGAGGTCGTACCATATATGTAGTGTTTGAAGGACGGCGGCCACTTTTTGGGGCTTGTGGAGCCGCGAGGCATCTTTCCAAAGCATACATTGGAAAGAAACATTCTTAGAATTGACTTCTTTCCATCTTCTTGGTCGTTTTTCCTTTCGGTATTTTAAAATGCCGTTCAATGAACCCGACTTCAGTCAGTTCACACTTCTGGAAGTGACAATTCGTCTGATTCACAGTTTCTTGTTTCGCATCGCAGTTTTCACCTCTTAAAATAAATGTTGCTGCAAAAATGATTATATGCTTCCTCTTAGGAAACCAGGCGCCATTTTGAAGGTGAAAAAATTTCAGCTCATTATTTAAAATGATGTGAGGAGATTCAGCTTACAGAATTTGTCTTTGCTTTTTTTTTTTTTTCATTTCCTTTTTGTTTCTTCTAACCATTGGCCGCTTTTAACTATCTTATATCCGCCGTTAATTGCAAACAACTTTCATGAAGAGAGTTAGGATTCTATTATGTAAAAATAAAAACGCGACACATACGACTAGAATAACTGATCGAAATATGTATATACTTTATTCCTCTTTGAAAAGCAAGCACTCTAAGCCTCTTATAAGACTAAACATTAATATTCTGTTTTTCTTGTTATTTTCTTTTTTCTTGTTATTTTCTTTTTTGCGACAATAGAATTTAGATGTAAATACAATGTTCCAATTAAGATACACTCATCTCGCCTGATTTTTTTTTTTTTTTTTGTATATACCATTTGTTCTATTTTATCTTAGAGACAAGTGATTACAGGTAACGACAAAATATTGATTACTTTTTCCATAGATGTTTTTTACGCAATGAAATCCATTTAACTATTTCGTTATTAGCTAGTCTGAATGCGTTTTAAGTCTTACATTCCCAAAAGAAAACCCGCCATCTTCCCGAGTCTCGTCTTTCATTTGAACAGTTTTATTTATTTCGATCTGATAAATATTGGTTGTATTTTATTTATTTCTGTAATTTTTTTTATGTTCTTTGAAATCATTCATTTTATATCAATGAATTCTTCAAGTTTCTGTATATCTTACTTGCATACAAAATTTAACGTTTTCACCATTATTCATAGGATTTCGATAATTAATAAACACCTTCGTTTGTCATGAGGTTTACTCTGCTTGATTTAGCTCGGGGCACTAAAAGACTTACAGAGATTCGATAATACCCAAGAATACTAAGAAGCGATAGTACATGTAAGAAACGAAGGAGTATTAAGATGCTTTGGTCGTACAATGTATCTGCTGTTAACAAATTGAAAAGACATAAATGACAGAGTAATGTCTATATCAAGGAATGTTGAGAAAGAAAAAACACATGGGCGATGGTGAAGTTTTAAAAGTAATACTTTCTGCAAGGAAACTACTGATAACTGTCAGAAAAAATACTTGGAACGAAAGAGATTTGGTTCAAGTTGTTTGGTTGGCTGATTTCGTTTCGCGGTATATCAACATCTATAGGTTATTTAATACTGAAATCTAAATATTTTACACGTAATTTTATGACTTCAACTACAGATATGTTGTCCATAATTTTATACTTTCAGGGTTACCATATGTTTTTAGATATATATAGTTTCTAGACCATAAAATGTAATTTTACTATAAAAGTATATTTTTATATTTTTTGGAGTGTTGCACTGCTTGTCATTTTGCTATGAAAAATGTATTGTTGGTCATTTTATAATAAAAATATACCGTCGATTTTTGTTTGGGTGTTCACTATTTACCTATAGCTGGGACTCTAACAGGTGATGCCAGCCCTAGTCTGGGTGGACCTGGGAAAGCAGCAATTAAGTGGTGGTTACACGCTTCACAAGACCTCCAATCTACCTATCAGAAGCCTTCCTGACGGATGTACTTTATCGTCATACCCAGGAATAGTAATTAAGCGGTGATTACACGCTCCTCAAAACATCCAGTCTTCTGATCTGAGGCCTTGCTGCCGGGTGTAGTTTATCGTTATGCACACGGCGTTGTTCATTCAAGAAATGCTGAGAATAAGCATGTAACTTGTGTAAAGAGGAATTTTCAGAAGAATAGCAACTACTAGGAAACGGCTAGCAATGATCAGAAACAGACTTTAACATATAAGCGGGTATATCAAGGAATTCTGAGAATGCACAGAATATGTGACTGATGGAGTTTAATAAGAATAGGCACTTGTACCGCATTCAGAATAGAAGAGTCAGCCCAGATATTAATTTATTTTCTTATATAGCCACTGTTATTTCAGATGCCGTCTATTCTATATTCCACTATTTCCTACCCATCCGTTCATACAATTGTCCTCTTCCGCCTGTTTTGTTCCAAAAATAACCGCTACCCTTTTATTCTTGCTTTAAGTACAAGGAAACCGCCACTATACAATCAGAAAGAGACAAAACTGAAATTTCTGGAAGACAAGAAGAAAAAAGTAGACAATTAAAAAAATTGCTCTCACAGGACATAGTGAGTTAGAACAGTAAAAAGAAAACAGTTTATGGAGGGCCACGATATTCTCTGTCGTGAGATAACTTCCATAGAAAAAAATAATCCGAAAAGTTCGAATGAAATATAATGGCGAATAAGATATCATTTTACCAATCATCCATAAATATTACTTCCCTACCTTGAAAATTTGAAATGGTTTTCCCAGGGGACGAACAGCTATCTCTCTATTTGCTTTTGTTTTAATTTGCCGACTGCAATAATGATGATCGCTAGACTTTTCCAATATATATTATTTGCAAATATTCGGATCCTACCGAAAGTAACGGTCACAGGAAACGGTTATACATTCAATGGAGTTACTTTCCTGAAACGTGTATTGGGAATCAAGGTCACGCCAAAACACAAGTGGAACACGTATATTCGCTTTAATCAGAAAAACGCCGGAAAAAAGTTGGCTTCACTGTATCGCAGCAGACAGGATCTGATTTCGCTGCAGATAAGATCTGATTCTGCTGCAGATAGGATCTGATTCCGTTACAGATAGGATCCAATTTCGCTGCAGATAGGACCTGATTTTGTTACAGATAGAATCTGATTTCGGTGCAGATAGGATCGAATTCCGCTGCAGACAGGATCTGATTCGGCTGCAGATAAGATCTGATTCCGCTGCAGATAACAAAAATTTAATAACAAAATGGAAAATAGGATCTAATTCCGTTACAGATATGATCCGATTCCGCTACAGATAGGATCTGATTCCGCTGCAGATAAGATCTTATTTCGCTGTAGATAGGATCTGATTCCGTTACAGATATGATCTGATTTCGCTGTAGATAGGATCTGATTGCGTTACAGATATGATCTGATTCCAGTACAGATAGGATCTGATTCTGCTGCGGATAGGATCTGATTCCGGTACAGATAAGATCTGATTCCGCTGCGGATAGGATCTGATTCCGCTGCAGATAAGATCTGATTCCGCTGATGACAGGATCTGATTCCGCTGCAGATAAGATCTGATACCGCTTCAGATAGGATCTGATCCCGCTGCAGATTGGATCTGATTCCATTACAGATAGGATCTGATTTCGCTGCAGATAGGACCTGATTCAGCTGAAGACAGGAACTGATTCGGCTGCAGATAAGATCTGATTCCGCTGCAGACAGGATCTGATTCCACTGTAGATAAAATCTGTTTCCGCTGCAGATAGTAACTGATTCTCCTGCAGACTGGATCTGATTCGGCCGCAGAAAGGATCTGATTCCATTACAGATAGGATCTGATTCCGTTACATATATGATCTGATTCCGCTGCAGATAGAATCTGATTCCGCTGCAGTTAAGATCTGATTTCGCTGAAGACAGGATCTGATTCCGCTGCAGATAAGATCTGATTCGGCTACAGATAGGATCTGATTCCGCAGCAGATAAGATCTGATTCCGCTGCAGACAGGATCTGATTCCGCTACAGGTAAGATCTGATTCCGCTGCAAACAGGATCTGATTCGGCTGCAGATAAGATCTGATTCCGCAGCAGATAGGATCTGATTCCGCAGCAGATAGGATCAGATTTCGCTGCAGATAGGATCCGATTCCGTTACACATAGGATCCGATTTCGCTGCAGAAAAGATCTGATTCCGCTGCAGATAGGATCCGATTTCGCTGCAGACAGGATCTGATTCGGCTGTAGAAAAGATCTGATTCCGCTGCAGACAAGATCTGATTCCGCTGCAGATAGGATCTGATTCCGTTACAGAGAGGATCTGATTCCGTTATAGAGAGGATCCGATTTCTCTGCAGATATGATCCGATTCCGCTGCAGATAAGATCTGATTCCGTTACAGATAGGATCTGATTTCTCTGCAGATAGGATCTGATTCCGTTACAGATAGGATCTGATTTCTCTGCAGATAGGATCTGATTCCGCTGCAGATAAGATTTTTCTCCGCTGCAGATAGGATCTGATTCCGCTGCAGACAGGATCTGATTCCTCTTCAGATAGGATCTGATTTCGCCTAAAATGCTCTATCTTTACAAGAGCCAAATCAAAAGTGGAATATTGCCACAATGTCGGAGCCGGAGAATCCAATCCTCACGTAACAGATTTTGTAGCGTTCTAAAGCGATTGAGCGGCTTTGTGGGATATGAATTGCTTTCCCCCATATAACCTGTTTTTCTCATGGAACGTTGCTAGACTCTCGCTTTTCTAGCACCATTTTCCTGCCAAATGTTTCGATGAACTACAAATCCTTATTCTCCAAGTCTGGATCTTCACACTTAGGACCCGGCAGATCACGTTCTCCAAGTCGACAAATATGCATTTCCTTTCAATTATTTTGGTGTGGAGGAAATTACACACAGTTTCTTCCTCAGAATTTGTTGCATTATAGAACGGACTCCCTATATGTTGCATCCCCGGTCATTAAAATCTTAATCTTTTCAAGTCGAGGTTCAACCGTTATTTGCCCTACATATCACACTTGTTTTTATTTCTTTCAAAAAATATTTACAATTGAGTTGTCCCAAATTGAATTATGGAAGTCTGATTTTTCATTGATTAAAAATCGGGTGAAGAAAATTCGATTTTTATTTCTTTAGACTTTGCAGTGTGTTTACTCTCTTTATTCTATATTGAACTCGATTTTAATATCTCTCAAAGGGAGAAGAGAAAGGAAAATGGAAACCGATTTGAATAATAAACACATTAACATATTTCTTTTCTACTGAGAACTTGATAGTTGATGATATTCAGTTTGATGATGAATGGTCAAACATGTTTATTATTAATAGAGCAATAATTCTTTCCGGTTAGTGGGACATTCTTACTGTACTTTTAATTTCTCTTAAGATTACCTTCATGCTATATTTAACAGCCCTCCACGAAGGTTGTATGTGGCACAAGGGCGAGGGTTCTCCGAGCCCGTAGGCTCGACCAAAAATATTCCCTTAGGGTCTGTCTACCTTCCCGAACGAAATTCTGCCCTTCGGCATAGCTTCGTCCGAGTTCCTCTCTGCCAAAGCAGAGACTTCGACAGAAGTCGCACACAGTCAGAGACTGCGTCTATGCTCAAGATTACCTTCACGCTTTACAAAAGTCTGATTCTGAAGATATATATATTCGTAAGGACATCCCTTCCCCATCATGTTACTTGTAGTTGTGGAATCGATTACATAGGGTAGACGTCCTAACGTTTGGATCTGAAAATAAAACACCACTTACCTACCTCCGCACGATTTTGAATCCGGATACCAGGAAAATCCAACTAACCAATACTTCTGGCAGAGCATAAATAGTAGGAATTGTGTGTTTGATTTTAGTGCGGACCGTTTTTCGATTTTATCTTGGTC